TTCCCTCTGCCGTGCCTCTCCGCTGTGCCATTTTGCCTTGGCACCAGCAACCACAAATTAAAATCAAGCTTTCAGGGGCTAGGGAGATGGTTCAGTGGAATAAGCACTTCCCTACCAAGCACAAGGGCCTGAGTTCAATCCCTGGTTCTGCAAAATCAACCAATCAATCAATCAAGTTTTCCTCTCTTAAGATATGGGTGTTAGGTATGGCATCTCAGCAAGGAGTAAAATGACCGAGGTAGGCATCCATGCTCGGTGGCAACCAGAGGGATGGACAATAACACTGAGATTTCCTGTGCGTGTGTGTGTGTGTGTGTGTGTGTGTGTGTGTGTGTGCGTGCGCACACATGCACACACTACTAGGGATTGAACCCAGCACTGACTTTCATCCCCAGCCCCCTTTGCATTCTCCCACCTCACATGAAAAGTCGCTACCAGGAGCTGACTTGGTTAGTGGGTCTCCATGCATCCCGAGTGTCCTGGTGACTTACAAGGAACATCAGCATTTGCTAGGCATTGATTATAACCCTTGCCATGATCCCTAAAGGAGACATTGTTACCCCTGATGAGGACATAGATGATCAAAGATGAGGACACTGATGACCAAAAGGCTGACAGTTCTGCCCCAGCAGCAGATAGCAAGAGCAATGTGGGAGGCAAGGTGGTCAGGATGGGCAGAAGGGGCTGTGTTCCACCCCTGGCATCAGCAAGCACAAGCTAATGTTAGGAGAACAGTTACAAGTGGGAAAAAAGTGGGACAATCAATCCATAGCTGTCTCCCCATTCTCTTCCTGCATTCTGTGTGTTGGGTGGGAAACACCGCTGGCCTTTACTCCACCAGCTAGGTCTTCTTGGGTGTGCAATGATTAGCCCCCATTTCTTCTAGCTGTGTGGCAGCTTCTCCTGACCTGCCTCAAGGGCCTGGGCTCAGGGCTTGGCCTGTGGAAAGGAGTCATCCTTTTAGGTCCTCTCCCTACAGTAGAGATCACGTTGTCACATGCACAGTGCTCCTGAGGTGGAGAAGGCATTGGCGTCCCTGGCCTGGCCTCAAGGGGCTGGTTTCTCCCAAAGGCCCTAGACTTTTGTGTCATGCCATGGGTCTAACACAGCTCTACCCTGTACTTCAAGCAAGGCTTTTGCCTGCAGGGCATCTGTCTGCACCCTGGCCCTGAGCATCTCCCAGCTCGCCTCATCCTGGCCTCAGTGCTGCTTGCCTTGGGTCCAGATGTATACCATCACCAGATCCTCCTGCCTCCTAGCCGCTGCCAGCAGGACACACTCTGGCAGTGGTGCTGGGACCAGGATCCACCCGAGCTCAGACCACCAGCTTTGACTCATGTGACAAAGGTCTAGTTGGAAATGGAGCTGGGCCTAGAAGCTGGATTCCCTGGCTCCTTCCCAGGGCTCCTTCTATGGTTCAGGGTTGCTCCTGGGGGAGCTGATGCTAATCATCTGCCTGGCAGCTCTCTCCTGCCATCACGTACACCATTGTGGACAGCAGCACTCCTGCGTTCACTCACTCTAGTGCCTACCAGACAGCTGTCCTTCCACTACTGCAGGCATGAGCTGGTGTCGGGCTCCGAATGCTTACCCCACAACCCTTGCTGCAGGCGCTCCCAGGAGAAAAGCGCAAGCACACGAGGCTGCAACAGAGACATTTGTGTGCAGCAAGTTGTCATCTGCTCCTTAAACAAACCACAAGATGGGCCGTTGTCACGCCTACCCCTGACATTTGAGAAGTCCAGAGCAAATGCATAAAAGCAGGCCCACGCGCCATGTGTCTAAATGTTTGAACATTATAAATAAAGCTAATAAACTGTGAAAACATGTTTATTCTTCCTTCCTGCCTGGACAAATATACCTTTATAACAAGCTCGAGGTCAGGCTCTGAGCTCACACTCTTGGTCTCTGGGAACTGGGGGTGGGAGCATGGAAAGTCAGCCCCAGCCCCCACCAGTGTCCCCTCTTCTCCTTTTGCCCCAGACACCTGTAGCAAGGGAAGGGGCCCCAGTTTGACAGTTTAGCCAAACCTCAGAGCCAAAGGAGGCTGCTCAGGCCCAAGTGTGGACAATGGGGCAGCAACTTCCCAGTCTGGTACTTTCTTTGTGGAGCAAAAGGGGCTGCAGTGTGCAAGGGACAGGTCCTGAAAAAACAGCCACCAACCTGGAGCGGGCCCACAGCAAGGCTCTCTGCAACCCAGCCAGCACTAATGATATGATTCCCGCTGCATCCATGAAGTCGCTGTGCTGCTGAAGTGACTGCCGCAGGCTGTCCTCACAGCTGCGCAGGGCTTGACCCAGGCTGCTTGGCTGCGGTCCTGCTTATTCCCTCCACCATCTGCTGTCCCCGCTTGCTTTTTTCCTTTGCATCATGGTTCTCGGGAAAGGCCACGAGTCCCATTTCCATAAGGCACCCCACTGTGATCCACACATGCAGTTCCTCCTGCTGCTAGACAGGCAGAAACCGTCTCTTCTGGGACCTCCAGTCCAGTCCTGTCCTCGGCCACCTTCCCTAAAGTGGGAGCACGGTGACAGCTTCCCAGTCCCACAGCTGCAGGATCCCTCTGGCCTCCCTGTCACTGCCTCTCACCCTCTGCCTCTTCAGCCCAGCCTCCTGGTCACACAATGCTCTTCCAAGCAAGGCTTCCTCTGCCGCCTCCACCCTCAGGATCCCTGAAGCCTGCTCTTTCTCTTCACCTGGGTTTGGGGGGGGGGTGGTGACACCCCAAGACCAAGGTGGATGCCCAGCTAATTAGCTTCCCACTGAGAAAATATATGATCCCCACGCCTTGCTGGGTGGGCAGCTCAGAGTGATGGGTACCTAAGGGGACCTCCAGGGCTCCCTGTGGGCAGGAGAGCTGGTTGCTGAGATGAATCAACCTCTTCTGAGAGATTAGAGCAGCAAAGAGCCCCGGCTGCTCAATCCACCTGACAAGGCTTCCTGGTTCCTCTGGAAACCCACACTATTGTCATGTCATGTCCCCCCAAGTGAAAAGTCATTTCCTGGGCAGATGGCAGAAGCCAGTGGACTCTGACCTTGACTTTGAGTCCTAAATGCTCTCTAGAGCAGGGCAGGCTGTCTCCCCCAGCCCCAGTATCCTCTAGATTACAAAGCCAAAGAACAGTGTTCTCTCTCTCTCTCTCTCTCTCTCTCTCTCTCTCTCTCTCTCTCCCCCCCCCCCCCCCCCCCCCCCCCCCCCCCCCCCCCCCCCCCCCCCCCCCCAGAATCGCCAGCATGGGGAGAGGTGAATGACAGGACACAGAGACAGAGACAAGGACATGGAGCTTTCGGCAACAACTTCAGCACATAAATGGGGACCAGAGAGTGGACTGTGGGGTATTTTGCGCCCTGCAAGTGCAACAGAGCAGAGATGCTGTTCAGCTGTGCACTATGTGGGAAGGGGAGGCCTCCTGGGATGGCCAGGCCCCCACTCTCTCTGACATCCTCCCCCACAGCCTTCCCCACCCCTGGGCCACAGTTGCGGCCTGGGGCCTTTGCACGGGCTGCTCTCTCCTAGGGCACCTTCCCCTGCTCCTCCTCCATCTCCACCTTACTAATGAGGTCAGCCCTGCCCCCACATCACTGCTTTCCATCCAGGCCTACAGTTTTGCTCTCTGTGACTGATGGTATTGCTAACTTACCAGGACCTTGCTTCCCCCACTAGGATATTAGCTCTCCTAAGCAAAGTCCTTTATCTCAATTTGTTCCCTAAAAGCCTGGAACACTGTTGGCTATTTTATAGGAGCTAGTTGATATTTATTGTGCAGGCAGATAAGGGAATCTAGGAAGACTCTGAAAGACAGATGGGCACTTCGAGCTTCAGTTTTAATGCCTTGAAAGTAAAGGAGTTTCTCCTCTTTGTCTCAGTGTGGCTGCAAACAGACTAGGTCCAGAGGTCTGGAGCACCTGATGAAGGTGGCAGAGGGAGGGAAGGGCCATGTCCACCCCAGGGCCTGCACAGGGCAGGGCCGGCGCCCCGGGCATCGCAAAGGGAAGCAGCCAGAGTGATCTGCTGGGTGATAGCCAGGCCGGGACCCTAGTGGGGCCCCAGGTTTTCCGCCCTGGGAAGTCGGCTCTACCCTCTTGTCTTTTCCTGCAGCCCCCTTCATCTCTTCCAACACCCCCAAAACTGGCTACATAGCATCCCTGAGCCAATTTGCCTAACACGGTTCAGCAGCTCACGTTCACGCTCCTGAATCAACGCTGCAGGAGATTCAGCAGGCCGGAGCGCTGAAGGCAGCTGTCCGTATCCATGAACCCTAACGTAGCCCACCTGAGCCAAGACAGTGGCAGGTGGGGACAGGGATGTGTCCAGAGCTGAAGGTCCGATGTGGGCGTCTTCCCTCAAGTGACCTCTAGCACAATGGAGAGGGCAGGGGGTCCCCGAAGGTCACCAACCTGAGAGAGGGGCAGAGGATGTCCGCAGGGCAGGAGGAAAAGAGACTGGCAGGTTCACTTAGGGGGACCTTCCGCCCCCAGGCAAATAGGAAAGGGGCGTGGTGGGATCTGGGAGGAAGAGGCGGCCTTCCGCCAGGCCCGGGTGGGGGCCAGAGGCCCTCGCCGCAGCCAGCATGGATCCCGCAGGCTGCGGGGAAGGTAAGGGCGGCCCCAGCTGCCGTCCTGTGCGTCCTAGGTGCCTGCAGCTCTGGGGTTCCCCGGGGAGGCAGGGCTGCACCTTTGCCCCCGGAGTCCCTGCCAGGCCTCAGCCTTGGGGACAGCCCTAGCCGCAGTGGGTGGAGCGTGGGGCTCAGGCTGGGGCTGAGGGGTCCTGCCCCCTCCACCCAGGCCGAGCGCTGACCATGGGTTTATTTCCAGGAAAGTGAGGATCCGATTTCATGAAAAATGGATGCTTGGGTTTGGTTTCACCTAGGGTCGGGAGGGCTTGCGGCTGGCCAGCCGTGCTCCGGGAGGCGAACTCGGGGGGCTCTAGGACCTGCGCGCACTCGGACCCCGGCTGAGCTTGAATAAGGCCGCGACGTAGCGCAAAGGCTGGCGACACCGCCGCGTTGCCAGGCAACCGCCCTGACGCAACGCAGAGAAAACCACGTCTCTTCAAAAGAACAGTGCCGAGGATCCACAAGAGGCGGGAGAAGCCAGCGCCAGCAAGGAGCAGGCGGCGGGGATCAGGCGCCAGCGCCAGCGCCAGCGCCAGCGCCAGCAGCAGCACGACCGCGCGGATGCCTCCTGCGCCCAAGGTGGGTTCGCGCCCGGGGAAGGAGGGAGGAGGGCCGGCCAGGGAGGGTCCGGGTCACCTGCTCCTGGGCTCGCACCTCTCCCGAGGACGGGCGGCTGCACTACGCTCCGTCCCACCCTCAGCTCGCTGCTGGCCTGGCCAGGGCTGAGATTCTGGGTGGACATTTGGGATTAGAGGGGGTGGCACAGACTGCCCAGGTCATCTGTGACGTCCACGTCCACCCGTCTGCTTCACTCGGGCTCGGCCCCATCAAAGTTTCGGACCCCAAGACTGCAATCGAGCTCAAGTGACCCAGGGCAAGGTCCCCCACGATAGCCCTTGCGGCTGAAGCCAGGGTGGGAGGGGACTGCACACCCAAGGCCCTCAGGGTAAAGACAGGTCAGCCCCGTAGCCAGGCACCAGGGTCAGCAGGAGGAGGGTCCACCAATCCCATGGGGCAGGAGACGTCTCCTTCAACCAATTCGGGTGGGTGTGGTGCTTTTGCAAACCCCTGCACACCTGCACCAATGATCTGGAGGCAGGTGGTCCTTGGTGGCGGGGCCTGGCGTCTCACCTGCGGCAGATTCTCCTCAATCAAGTTGTACACTCTCTGTCATCCCGGGAATCCCACACGCCAAGACGGCTTCCATGCATAGGGCTGTCCCCACGCACCCAGCGGAGTCCGCGCTCCAAAGCTGCTTCCCTTCCACGCCCCACAGACAGGCATCCTGCTCAGATATAGGGCTGATGTGGTCTCGGAAAGCTAAGGTGGTGGCACCTCTAGCCTGACTGCGTCCTCGGGATGGCGAGGCGCCTGCCAGTGTGGTTTCAGGACCTGCCAAAGCACCCTCGAGCTGCTCCTCCAGTGTTTGTTTGCCGAGGGATTCTACCAGTCACATGCTGCTGGGAGCCTTCACACCCGTGGTCACTTTAGCCTCAGGACCAACCTTGCAGGGTCAGTGGTGTGCCTGTGTGGTCAGCGGGAATCAGAAGTTAGGCCCTTGGGTGCAGCATATGCAGCTGGTGAAAGAGCATACTCCCAGGCCTGCCTCCCCAGACTCCTGAAGCAGCACACTCAAAGGAACCCAGTTATCGAAAATCTAAGGGTCCCAGTCCAGAGAAGGGAGAGAAGCCAGTCACATCTAGATGAAATGAAAGCTGTGTGCTGGGCTCATCCTGTGACCTGAGAAGGTCCCCTGCCAGCTGATGCTTGTCACATCCAGGATAGAAGACCTGGCCAGCTTCAGAAGGCTCCTTCTTGCTGACCCGAGACCCCTGACTCTGTGCCCTTGCTCACAGCCTCAACCTCGCATTTGCGTGCATGGATTCACTGAGTGACGGAGTGACCAGTCCCTGCTGCCCGGTCTACTAGCTTAGCTGCCCTGCAGGGGACACTTAAATGAATCTCAAGACCCATGCACTCCAGACAGTGAGGGAGCGGCTGGTGGTCAGTGCCTGGTCGCTCCGGGTAGATCTTGCTGGTGGATAAGAACTAGTGGCTCAGGGACCGCCTGGAAGCCCAGCCCGTAGAGCTGTGCTCTACCAAGTGATGGCTTTTTGTTCCACTGGAATGTTGAGCTGCTTGCCAAGGTGGAAGATCATCAGATGGCAGTGGGGATGGAGAAAGCCACTGATAGATGTCCCTCAGGAGTCACTAGGGTGGCTCTGATGTGTGAGCACCTGGGGCTCATAGGGATGAGTGGGGACAGTGGGGACTGCTGAGCAGAGCAGGGGTGCAGGGAGCAGGCAGGATGGGCTGGTGAGGAGGAGCGAGCCTGGTGTCCCAGCAACCACATGCCACACAAGGCCAGTTGCTGAACAGAGTCTGGAAGACTGCAAACCTGGGCACTTCCCTGGCTGGCCGGAGCTCTGTCCGCTGGAGTCCAGCCCTCCCCTCTCCACCTCTCTCTCCAGAAGAAAGTGGAGACAAGGAGCAGGAGGAACAGCAACAGCAGTTGGAAGCTACACTGCCCCAACCTGCCTGCTTTCTTCCTGGGCAACCCAGACCCTCAGAGCCTCAGCCCTGTCCATAGAACGGCTCCTCCTGCTCTTGAGCAACAGGAAAGGTCCTCTGCCCTGGGCAGCTCCAGCCCCGGGCACTCTGTGTGGCTCCTGGGAGCTCCTGTGGTGGATCCTGTCCTGCCTGGCCAATCACACAAGGACTCTCCAGTTGCCAGCCCACCCTGTGTAGCCTCTGCCCCAGCAGCTTTGGCAGACGGGGTTCAGCTTATCTCTGTGGGGTCAGGGACTAAGCCCCCTCTCACTCTTTGCCAGGTACCTGATGCAGGTTTGGGACTGGCCATGGGTCCCTGTGGCTTCCTCACAGGGCATGTCCCTTGACCCTGAGCAGGCACATGTCCAGGCTCATTTCCCACATGTGCATAGTCCCAGACGATGACCTCTGTGGTGGCCACAGTCCCAGGCTTCTGCAGGGCTAGGGAGCCAGCAGTGCCTCTGAGTCAGGCTGAAAACACCCATGCAGGGTCCTGATGCAGGGCTGTGGCTAGGAGGCCACAGAGGGCCTGGCGCTGCCCCATCCACCATCAAGTCAAGGAACACTGAATGCCTGCCCTGTAAGCATCTCAGCCCTGGGGACCTGGGCAGGAAGGAACTGACCCACACACACTCTGTGGCCATGCAGGCAGATACCCCAGCTTGTGCTTCTGTCATCACTGCCATATTCGGTTGCTTGCAGCTGCTGAAAACCTAGAGGAAGGTGACAGCAACCCTACTCTCAGATATGAATGAATGCAAGCCTTAGGAAAAAAATAAAATCCCACCACACACGCAGTCACTTTGAAACCTCGTTTATTTCCAGATCCAGACAGCGTGACCCACAGTCTTGGTGGGGGCTTACTGACCTGTCTCCTGCTGCCCTCAGTACCTTCTCAGGAGGGCTTGGGAGATCTTCCTTCTTGCCCCTGTTGAAGTCAAGCCTCCCTGGAGTTTGTCTGGGCAGCCTGAATACCTGTCTTCATGGACAGCAGTGCATTCCTCAAAGTTGTTTTGCTGAGTACCAAACACTTGGTGCTTCTGAGGATGAAGACTAGGGTCAGCTGCCCTGGCTGCCTAGGAGCAGGGACTTCTGTGGACGGCGTGTGGGAGTCTGGACTTGAATGTAGCTGGGCTTAGCCCACCCACTAACCCCACATAGCACAGGGCACCATGTCTGCAATGGATTTGAGGTCAGTAACGCAGAGTGTGCTGAGGATGCATGGGGCAGTGGCCCTGTGTCTCGGAGCACGGAGCGTGGCTGGGACTGCTGAGTAGGCCCTGCAGTGCATGTAGCCAGGGCAGCAAGGTGATGCTCTGTAGCACACAGACACACTTCAGGGCACTGTGGGGGCTCAGAAGCCACTTTGCCAGGCGACAGCCCAAGGACAGCACCAGCCAGGCACCGTGAAGGGCAGACAGCAGCAGCCCACCCAGGGCCAGAACTAAGAGTTCTTATACCCCTTTCTCCCTCGGTCCTCCCAGACTGTGAGGCCGACTCCGCTGGGATCCTGTTTCCAGATGAGGAGCCTGAGACCTAGTGGCTTGAGCCGGGTCACCACGGCTCATGGAGCCAGGTTCACAGTGAGGGAACAGTCACACACTACCTGCTCCGCCTGCCTACAGGCACTTAGGACCGACACTCCCTCCGTACCCACCTCCTGCAACCAGCTGGCCGAGGCCACCCTGGACCCCTTGTCTCCCCAGGATGGGCCCACCTGCACTCCGGGAAACACTAAGCCCTCCAGCCCTGAGGTCAGCATGCCCAGACCTGCAGCTTGCGTAAACATGCGTGCACCACGGAGCCTCTGAGGAAGTCCTTATGCTGGGAACTCGCAGGCTAAAACAGAAAACAAGACATTAGAAGGACAAATCTCACTTGAAATGGAGTTTGTTGATTTTGCTGATCTGAAGTTGGAGCCAATTATCTTGAGGGTCTGAGTAGGTGCCACTGCCTTGTTTGGGGGCAGGGACAAATGCCACTTTGGTGAGTCTGTGGGCTGCAGGGTGCTCAGCTGGGAAGCCCTCCTTTTCCTGTAGCCAGGATAGGGCTGGAGCTGCGCTCTGCTTTTATCTCTGCAGATTGCTCTAAAGGCCACTCTGTCTGCTTTCTGTGCCCACATCTGTATTGCCACTGTGAGCTTTGGCCGGAAAGGGCCTGTGGTCACCAGTGTCAGCTGGCCAGGATGATGACACGCTGTGTAGACAGCCCTGCCTTGTCCCTCCCTGTTTCCTACAGCCACTTCCCACTCTAGACCCAGGTTCTCAGGTTCACAGGCACCTCGCCCTGCCTGCCCGAGCAGCCTTCCCTGGGGCTGCAGAGGGGACATGGCAGGGACTCTGGGTGTCCTCAGGGTCCCACCTCCTTAGAGCAGCCCTGTGCTTTCCCATCTCCTTTCAGGGAAGCCCTAAATTGGATGTTTGGCTCAGGAGCCCAGGCCTCCACCCAGCTGACCAACAGCAAGGCACAAGTCTTTCTTGGCAATTTTCTCCCAAACTTCGTTCATTGGGAAAAATGAAAGGAAAGGTTTCTGCACTCCTGGGTGCCTTACCGTCACCTCTCAGCAGCTGGAGCAGGGCTCATCCATTATTCAGCACTGACCTAGCACTTTGAATTTGCGGAGATTTTAGGTGTTTGTAGAGATTCTTCCTTGTCATGTCTGGGCAAAAGGAAACAAGTTTTCTCATTTTCTAGACAACAGAAGCAAGGATAAGCTTGAAGTTCAAGGATTGTGGTCCAAGCCCATGCAGTGGCGCCAGTGGAGCCTGGTGGCCTCTTCTGCCCTCGTAATTTCTCTGGGTTTTGGTTTCTCAGCCATAGTGTGTTGAGAAAACAACAACAAAATATAAACTGAGTTTGACTTTACAATGCAAGCGCTCTTGCTATTCCAGGTGTGTAAATGGAAGCTTTGACCTCTGAGTAGAGCTGCACCTGTCAGCAAACTAGCTTCGAGGGGTGAAGGTCCCCAGGAGAATTCAGGTAAGCACTCTGCACTGCCCTTGATCTGGGACCTGGTGGACTGAGCTCTGTCTTGGGAGGGAAGGAGAGGCCATGGCACCAAACCCAGCCTGGGCAATGGGAGAGGCTGCTGCCTCCCTTAGAAGCAGGGGTGGATTCTCATGGGGCTTTCCAGGGAGGGTGATCAGACAGCACGAGATGTGTCTAGTGGTAGAAAGGCCAGGGCCACCCTGGGGGGCAGCAGGCACCACTCTGGGGCACTCCTGCCTATAGTGTAGACCGGGTGTGTGTGTGTGTGTGCACATGTGTGTACGTGTTCATATGTTTGAGGAGGATCCCAGGCAGGGGAGACTGTTCTGCATAATGCTAACCCTAACCCTAACCCTGCGCCCCTACCCACCAGCCACATCCTAGCCAGAGCACAGGCCCACAAGGAACTACCTGCTGCGCACACTCACATGCGCGTGCTCACACATATGCACCCACAAGACACATACACACGCACCTGTCTCTGTCTCTGTCTTTCTGTCTCTGTGTCTCTGTCTCTGTCTCTCTCTGTCTCTGTCTCTCTCTCTGTCTCTGTCTCTGTCTCTGTCTCTGTCTCTGTCTCTCTCTCTCTCTCTCTCTCTCTCTCTCACACACACACACACACACACACACACACAGCTCCACCATATTCCCTCCCCTTCTACACCCTCAACACAGCCAGGCCTCTGTGGGGCCCCCATCCCAGGGTTCCCAGCAGTGCTCTGACCATGTACCGGGATGGCAACAGGCCTGGAGGTGGTGACAGAGTAAGGGAGTGTTGGGAACAAGGCCAGCCCAGCCAGTGTCCCTCCTGCTTCGGTCACCATGGTAACCTGAGGTTGAAGAGAAGGGCCCGGGCAGCTCGGCAACAACTCTGCAGGGTGCAGGGCTGTGTCCCCTCCCTTTGGTCCCTTTTGTCTGCAGTGTCCCAGTGGCCACATCGCAGGCTCCGCCTGCCACCCTGGGTGCCACTGGGAGGTCAGCGCCATCCGCCTGGGGCTTTTAGTGCAATGCCAGCATCCAGTTGATGATTAAACCTGGATGGAGAAGCTGGGGCCCCAGCCTGCCTTTCCCTGTTCACCTGTGACACAAGGATCTGTGGTGCCCACCCAGGACAAAGGGATCCGTGTCCTCATAACACCAACAGGCAGGAGAGGGCGGTGAGGTGCCACCCCACTCTGTCAGAGGCTCTGTCCGTAGCTGGGCCGTGACTCTGACGAGGTCAGCGACCAACACAGCACACTTAGCAGAGGGACACAGTGGACCAGCACATGTGTGGGAGCTCTGCCAGTACAGAGCAGCAGGCAGCCTGGACAGCTACGGGCTTCGCTGCCACGCTGACCCAGAGGATGCCCACCCCCAGACCTGCCTGGCTGAGGCAAGGCGGAGCCTGAGGAACTAACCCAGGTGCGGCCACTTCTGCATTCCAGAACTTCTCAGAGGACTCCTGATGCCGCAGAAGGAAAGTTTTCCACATAGGTGGGGCTGGCATCCAGCTCGGACCAGGGTGTGCTCTGGAAGATGGCGGTCACCCAGACCCCTGTCACAGCTGGCCCAGCTGAAAGGGACTAGAAGGCCTGCCCAGCCTTTCTTGCCATCAGATGTGGACCAGTGTCACAGTCCAGATGGTCCCCACAATTGGGCCCATGTCAAAGGACAACATAGCGCAGGGCACAGTTACTATGTCCAGGTTGACAGCTCTGAGAGGATGCTGGGTAGCCCGGGGAAGGGTCTGCAGAGCCTTGGCCTTCTCTGGCCCCTCCAGCCTCGCTGGCTCCTCCTCCCAGGCTCCATCCCTCCCCTTGGCCTGTACACTCTGAGTGCCACTAGGCCAGCTTCCTGTTCTGGGCTCAGTTTCTTCATCTTTTATGGAATGACTGTCGTTTGTGGAACACGAGGTTCTCGTGCCCATGGGGTGCCTGGCACGTGTCAGTGCCAGCTGTCTCCTGAGCTTGACAGCATCGGACAGACAGCCCTCGCAGGAAAGCTACCAGAGCAGGATCGGAGTTGTGTTTTAGAAGATAACTGGCACTGTGGCCGGAGGAGTCCTGGTGAGATATGTAGGGCCAAAAGGAAGAGGACAGTGCCCATGTCCCTGGGCTCAGGCCTCAGGGTCAGGAGCACAGGGTACCTAGGGCCTGGTGGGAAGTGCACCCCACCTAGCCATCCCCCAGTGTTCCCCAGTGCTCCAGGACAGGTACACACTCCTGGGAGCCAGCACCACAGCCCTGGCGTTTTCCTGTGTGAAGTCAGAGCAGGTGAAACACCGAAGTGTGAAAACCCTAGAAAATGCTATTATTGTTGGCCTGCCTGTGCTGGTGCTGGGGGACATGTGTGCGAGGTCCCTGATCCTGCCTAGGTGCGATGCACCTCCTTTCCTGAGCCCCTTTCCAGGTTGTTGGGCCTTCAGTTGTTCCCCCCAGTTCCTGGGCACTACAGTTGGGTGGAGAGGGCTGCATGACCAGAGGACAGTGATCTAGTGGCGGCACTCCTGCTGGGAGGCCCAGGACAGTTTGCCACTTGCCTGTTGTTAGCTGTGAATGAGGACGCATATCAGCTAGGAATGAGAGGGCTTGGTATAGTCTCACTGAGGACAGCCAGCCAGCATCCACACTGGGGGTCCCAGCTGCAGGTGGCGCATCTCCCGCAGGGACATAGGAACATGTGGGAGGGGCCCGTCAGGTGCCATGATGCTGCTCCACAATGCCATCTGGCCCTCATGACGTTCGCTGCCTCTGCACATGAAGCAGGACCCCAAGCGCCAGTAACAGAAAAGGAGCCAGAGGCTGACAGATTGGCCAAAGGTAAAGTCCCAAAGGAGAAGGCAGGCCCGCCAGAGTGCAGAGCTGGAGGCCACCACGGTCCTTTAGTGGGGACAGTTGGGCTGGCACCACCCTCACCAGGCAGCCACACAGCCGAACCCCAAAGGGGCCTGCACCTCTGATTGGCCAAGCTAGATTACTGCTCCCACGGGAGGGGGCTGCAGGGAGGACTTGGTCCTCTGGTCCAGAGAACAAACCGAAGGGTGCTGGCCTGCTGTTCCCAATTTGGACGTTGCTCACTATAGCCAGGAAAGCAGGTGGGCAGAGAGGGCAGACAGACAGGCAAGCAAAAGCCAAGTATTAGTAAATACCCTGGTTTCTTTTGCATCCCGTCTTCACCACCTGCTTCCACTAGTCAGTTATGAATGCCGGAACCTAGCCCCGAGGAGCTTAAGCCCAGGAGAATTGGCAGCTGTGTAATCAAGGCTGGGTGGGGTGGCTCCCAACCAGGCTAATTGTGGGCCCAGACTATCCTGTCTGCCTGGCTTGTGTGCCAGCAGCCCTTCCTGGGGAGAGCTAGGAGCCCCAAACCCTCAGGGAGCCTGGGAGCAAAGCTGGCTTGGTGGGGGTGGGGGGGTTCTAATCAGCCCAGACAGGTCTTGTGACCGCCCCAGGAGGAGGGGATTTCCGCAAAGCATAGCCTCGCGCCCTACAGTAGGGGGTGCTCTTTCCAGAGGAGAGAAGGAGGATGCCAGGTCCGAGGAGGTCCTGTCTGGGTCGCGTTCAGAGTCCCTGCATTTGGTGCAAGCTGAAGCTGTTCCTGACGCGTTCCAAGTGGGGGGCTGGCACACCCGTGTCCAGGAAGTCCAGGGCCAGAAGGGAGGGGGTGGCCTCTGGTGTGGATGGGAAGAGACCGACGCCAGAAGTCTACAGGTCTCCTCAGGTCAAATGCAAGCAGAGTTGAGCTGCGCTAAGTGCAGGTGTGCTGACCTGCTTGCCCATTTGCTGTCATGTTTACATGTCCGACAAGCCAGGGCACAGGGCTTGGTCCTCACCCTGGAGAACATCAGAGGCTACCAGAGAGGGCCATCAAGAAAGTGCTTAGGCACTGGCCTCCAGCCAGACAGCAGGGCCTCAACTTCCAGATTCAGTTTACTTGATCAGTGACTTGGGGTAAGTTACCCAAGCTGTCTGTGCGTCAGTCTCCCCATCTGAAAACTGGGGCTGCTGCTTGCTAATCAGGCAGCACATGTGTTAGCAGAGGGTGCACTTCTAGGAGTGCTGGCGGGGTCGCTCTGAGTAATTGCTGGGCACCGACAACCTAGCGCTGCCAAATCCAGATCCCTAAGAGCCCAGGCAAAGGAGGGAGCGAAGTCTTGGAGGTGTGAGCCAGCACAGAACCAGAGGGGTAGGAGTTGGCAGGGCTTAGAAGCCTGTGTACTACGCGGAAGTGAGTGGTTCTTGAAGAATCCACGGCAGGAAAGCACAGATAAGAGCCCAGGTGGGGAAGAGGAGGAGAGTTTTTCGAGCAGCCCGTGGGGACGTGGGCTTGAAGGCTTTCCAGCCAAGCGCATTAGGTCATCTGGGACAAGGAGTGGGCCCGCAGCTGGGACTGCACCTACCTGGTTCCTCCCAGAGCCGGCAATGAGCTCATGGCTGGCAAAGCCAGGGGACATGTTTGAACGGCAATATGCGTGCAGCGTGGTCTTGGGCCCTGGCATGTTGCGGCTGTGGGGGGGGGGTGCCCCCAGGGTGTCCTCCTGCAGCTGGGTGGACTGCCTAGTGGGGCTTGCCTGGGCCTGGAGGGATTACTGACTGGGTCTCGGCCTGTTTCCCTGCACCCCCGGGGTCTCCAGCCTTCGCTTCCGCCTGCCTTGCTCCGTGCTCCCCACCCTGGGGCACCTCACTTGGATGGAAACCCATTTGTTCTGCATGGTGGGGGCCTCATTCTCCCTGGGCCAGGACCTGAAGTCTCCTGCTGTGTTGCCTATGTGAGAGGCTGTCCAGGGTGGCAGCCTCTGTCCCCAGCACCCAGGTGGCACTTCGCCGCCAGCCCAGGACACATCCACTTCAGTGCCAAGAGCGAGCAGTGGCTGGCAGCCCTTCCTCCTGGACCTCCCTGGCCTAGGTGGGTGACATTCCAGCTCAGCTCTTGCAGCCAGCTAGAAGGACAAGGAGAAAGCCCTCTGGGCCTCTCCAGCCACCAGGGCACCTGGGGGTGGCAGTCCTAGAACAGTGCCTGGTGATCAGGTTCTCAGCATGCAGGTGTGCTGGGGGTGGAAGGAGGCATGCAAAGCTGCAGGCTCAGCCCCTGCCCAGAGCTGTGACCCCCAGCCCTCAGTGATAACCTGCTGTTTAGGTGCGCGCTCTTCACACTCTCCAGAGAGCTTTCCCATGGAGGACTCCGCCTGCTCCCGAGGCATTCCTCAGACCAGGAAAGGGGCCCGGAGAAGAAGAGGAGCCAGATCCTGAGCTTGTTGGCAGTAAGACTGGGACCAGACGAGGCCTGAGTCTGGCCTCAGCCTCCGGATGAACAGCAGTCAAACATGAGTCAGCCTAGCACCCTCAGCTTTGAGGAGAGGAAGCTGGCCTGGGGCCCTGGCTTCATGAGCCAGCTGCTCCCTTCTAAGGTAGACCTGCTCCTGCCAGAGATCTTTCAGACCTTTGAGATCCAAAACTGGGGAGGAGATGGGGCCCCTGCCTGTGTGAGTTGGTTCCCAGGGGAAGATGGCAGGATCAGGCAGCTCAGGCACCCAGGCAGGCCCAGGTCCAGCCAGATGCTGGCAGATATAGGGACGAGGGGGATGGGGCTAGGCACAGCACTGACAGGTGGCATCTGGGTGGACCTCTCAGAGCCCTGAGTGATAAACGCTGCGCTGTGCCACAGGTTCTTCACTGCTGGTCTAGGACTCACTGTGGACCAGGCAAGGGACCTGGGCATGGAAGGACACTGCGACTCTCACTTCAGTTATGCTGTGGACACCATCCTGAAATCCTTAGGATTTGGTGGGGGGCGGTGCTAGGGATTGAACTTGGGGTCTTCATGTGAAGATATCTCCCCAGTCTTTTCTGAATTTCTAAATTTGAGACAAGGTCTTGCCAGGTTGGCAAGGCTAGGATCAAACTCGCAATCCTTGTGCTTCAGCTTCCCAGCCTGACACTGAGGCAGCTGTGTGTGGGTAGAGAGGCTGACTACAGACACGGTGGGTGCTGTGTCCTGCTGTCCCCCACCTGTCCTGCCTCTTGGGCAAAGGTGAGGCTGGAGTGAGCTCAGCACGTGCCAGCAAGCTGCCAATGAAAGGCCACGCCTCGCCTGCTCAGCCCACTGGCTCCTGTTCCCAGGCCCCCTGGAGCAGCTGCAGGGTTGCTAATTAAAACCTCCCCACCCCACACCATGGAGAAGTTGCAGCCACAGGGTTTCCCCTGCCCCAGGACAGCCTGACCACACACACCTCATAGGACACTGCCCCCTGCTGGGGACAGAGGACAGGGCTTCCCCAGGTTGTCTCTGCCTGCAGCTGACTGCTGGCTGTGAAGAGACCCCACCCTGGAAAGGCACCCACTAGGATTCAGCCCCCCAGGCACACTGAGTGAATCCTGGCATCTCAGCAAAGCAGATAAGCAGTGGGCACCTAGGAGGGGCCATGGAAGAGATTCTAAGGAGGCTGCTCAGGACCAGAGACTACACATGTGCTGAGATCCGGGCACACATGTGAACCCTATCCTGCCAGTCCCCAAAAACCTGAGAGGTTAGCAGTATTGCGCCACTTTCCAGATGTGTACACTGAGGCTCAAAGAGCCCAGCAGAGCCCAGAGCTCGGAAATGATCCCAGCCTAGCCTCTCTAAGGGAGATCAGCAGCCCTCAGTCCTGCGCCCTCACACGCCCTGATCTCTCAGGGATCTGCTGCTGTCTGGGTCCTAGTCCGGACCTAGTCTGGGTTCCTAGTCCATGGCATCAGAAGCCCAGGGAGCCTGGGATCTCCTGCTTCCAGAAGTCTGTGCTGGCCCGGGAGGGCTCCCGCACTCTCCCTGGGAAACACCCACTCAGGCAGGGGCAGGCTCAGCAGGAGGGGGACAGCACTCCGTTGTCCAGAAGACCTGCCCTTAGATCTGCCTCCCAGCAGCCCAGCCTGCCCTCGCATTCACCTTCTTGTCTTGGTTCTGTCCCCTGATCCATGTCTGCCAAGTTCCCACCTTTCCAAGCACCCATGGTGATGGTGGTTTCTTTTTCTTCAGCCAGGGGTTTCTAAGCATATACAAGTCAACAGACATTGCTGTCCTCTTCCACGGGGTGGATGCCCTGCCAGGCTCTGAGCACCTGGCTTTTTCATGTAAACCTTGTCTTGGATGCTGTTCCATAGCAGTCCATTCTCGTACAGCCATGCTCCTCAGCATAGAGTTTTCAGTCTCGCTCTGAAAGCCAAGGTGCATCCCCCACCACTCACTTGCTCTGTTCCTGGGGACACAGGAATCTGAGGACGGGAAAGTCCCAGCTAATTCTGACTGGGTACTTTTCTCCCCTTTTGGCGGGAGGGGCTGAGGTGACCCTTGGCTTGTGCCTCTCCTAGGCACAGGGAGGCAGCCCTGATCACAGCTGGGGCCCTCAAGGCACCTGGTGCAGTGCACTGCAGTGCAGGCACCTGGAGAATGGGAGAACCAGCTCCCCCGGAGGGTGAGTCACAAGGTTTAATAGCCCAGCTCCTTCCCTCTGCAGCCCTGGGTGAGTGTCCCTCCTCTGAAGGGGTGAGGTCAGGTGTTGTTGCTGAGGAGGAAGCTTAGAGAGGAGGAAGACAGCAGCCACAGCCAGGTGGAGGCAGGGCAGCCCGGCTACCTGATCAGCTGGCTCCGGGGACCACTAGGCCCACCTGGGCCCATCCTCTGCTACCTGCTGGGAGATCTTCTTGGTGAGTCACTTAGTGTCTTCGGGACTCCAGTTCCTCAGTGTAAAATAAGGATAAGAAACTTACTGTAAGCACTAGATAATAGAAGTGGGTTTTATAAATGATAAACATGACCGAATCCTAGCATTAGCATCTCTTCCTTGAGTTAAAGTGGTCCAGTAGTCTCGCTTCCAGTCTTTTCATGGACCTCTCTGAGCCTCTGTTTCCCTGCCTGGGGAGTGGATATGCCTGCCTCCAAGGGCTTTGGGTCCAAACACTGATGCTGCTCTGGTCCTTCCCGCAGGGCCCTGCGCTGCCTGCGCTGCCTGCTCGCCCTGGATCTGCTCTGTGCACCCCCAGGACGGGTGGATCTTGGCAAGCGCTATCTTCACAGATTCCTGCCGTCTTGTCTGTTCCTGCCTCTGCCACACATTGCACTCTCAGGATTCCGGGAGTAATCCTAGACCCCAGGCCCCACAGCTGGTGTGAGAGCCCCAGGACCTACTCTGAGCCCAGCCCCACCCCAGCTGGATGAGGCCGGCCAGACCAGGCTCCAGCCTCGCCCGCTGCCCTCCACGCCCTCCCATGCGTGGCTGCTGTGACAGGCGCTAGAATGTCTGTGCCCCAGATCCGAGTGGATGAAGTGGGCGAGGATGAGGGGCTGGCGGGAGCAGCTGCCCCTCCCGATGACCACCTCCGCAGCCTGAAGGCCCTGACTGAGAAACTGAGGCTGGAGACCCGCAGGCCATCCTACCTGGAGTGGCAGGCCCGGTTGGAGGATCAGACGTGGTCCTTCCCCAGGCCAGCCACGGAGGAGGAGAGCACGGAGCAGGCAGAGTGTGGAGCTGGGGAGCCTCCGATGGCCCAGAGAGAGGCAAGCGAGCATCTGCCGCCTCCTGAGGACGCCAGCCAGGGCGAGGGTGCACTGTGCGCAGGCAAGCTGGAGGGCTTCCAGAGCATCGACCAGGCCATCACTTGGCTCAGGAAGGAACTGGTGAGTGACTGTGCCTCCCTAAGGCCCGGCCTCGTCCCTTCCTCCTCCGTGTCCATCCTGCACCTTACGCACCCTGCACACCTGTAACCATCCAGCCAGACATGGGCAGAATGCAGCTCCCTGCTTCTCTGGGACCTGCGTGTCAGTCAGTGTCTAGCCGCAGACAGGGAGGAGCCCATGAGCTCCTGAGACCCTGAGCTCATGTTAGGGACCCACACCCTGCCGATGGACATCTGACCCCTGGGCTCTGTGTGGCCCTGTGGTCAACCTGCCTTCCTCCTCTGAAGTCCCCTCCCCTGCAGGCCCCCAGACCACTCCCTCAGCAAGTGAGTGGCCACCGTGCTGTGCTAGGCCCTCCCCTGCAGGCCCCCAGACCACTCCCTCAGCAAGTGAGTGGCCACCGTGCTGTGCTAGGCACTGACTCTGGGCTGCCCGCGGGGTTCATGGGGTGACAGACTGGGGGAGGACACTGTGTCTGGGGGCCCTGGCTGTAAGTCCTGTGGTGATGAGCGCCAAACTAACAAGGCGTGATGTTCAAGGTGCTGCCAGGGGCCACAGGACTGAGCACACCTGGGCTGAGGGCTTTGTGGGAGAGGCTGAGTAGGAGTCTGCTCCGGAGCTGGGGTGGCAGTGGCAAGCACCATGTCCCAGGGGCGGGGGGTGGTGGTGACTGTGCACAAAAGGTGTTTTGCTTTGAGCTGGGATGAGCAGCTCGACCCTTTTCCTGCCCACAGGCAAAGCACATTCCCACAGAACAGCTCTCTCTGTGCAGTGTGCCTCAGCCTGGAAAGGGGTGGGTGCACAGAGCAGGGTGTCCGTCCCTGCCTCCCGTGGGGAGAATCTCCCGTCCGCACTACAGTGGCTTTCAGTAGAGCCAGATGCGAGGCTAAGCCTGCCCGAGCTCTCGGCCCCCGCCCTGCCCGTGCCCGAGGCCCAGGTTAGGTACACCCGGTCCCAGGGATCCTGGAGGCTGGGGCAGGCTGCCCTATGGAGCCAGGAGAAACTCGGGCAACAGGGTAGGCAGAGGCCCGTTGGCTGGTTTTGCAGAATCCTGAAGAATAAATCCCCTGTGAAGCCTGGAATTTCTGAAGCTGGGCTTGGGGTGGGAAGGGACTCAGGTCTCTGCTTCACTGAAAACCTGTTTTGGTTTTGATCTTTGATGCCGAGAGGGTTTCCAGAGGACACGTGTGTCACTGGTGGCCGGAATGTGTGTGCCCTCTTTGCCCAGAGCTCCTGGATGCTCTTGGCGATGGAGACACGTTGTGCCCCAGGACAGACCCTGAAAGCTGCCCTTTGAGGCTAAGCTGCTTTGATCTGTTTTCATTAAAAAGAACAAAAAAAAATTTCCCATTCGTGGAGCATAGGTTCATTTTGTGACTGAATTGCTACTGGGATCAGACACAGGCCCGCCTTCCCATGGGTCTGCTTTGGAGCAGGAGGGGTGAGAAGGGGTTCTCCATGTGTTGAGCCCAGAGGGCCTTCCCCAAGCCCACCCCATTACAGCACTCCCATTACAATCAGGAGACCTTGTCGGACTCCTAAAGCCTCTGCCACACCCCAGCCCAATCAAATGAGCCCTTATCTGTAGCCAGCTGGTGGGCCAGGCTAGGAAGCTGGGCCAGGGGCAGGAGCAGCCCCAGGACTGTGGAGAGGGACCCAGGGCGGCAGAAGGGCACTCACTGTCAGCTCCGAGCTGGCTGCCAAAGGCTGTGGGGGCTGGGCAGGGGGAGTATCAGCGTGAGTAACCACAGTGCTTCCCGTGGACATAGCGTTTTCCAGTCCCCCAGCCGCCTCTGCGTGCTGCCAGGGCTGGGCAATAATGGTGATGTGATGATGGTGAGAGTCATCTCTAGCCCAGTGCCCCTGTGTGCCAGATATGTGCTCACGTTAGTCACACTTTCTCACTGTCACCTGACCGCACCTGCCAGGCACCCTGGCTCAGAGAGGATGTGACAGTAAGAGCGAAGTTGGCACTGGAGCCCCAGCTGCTGGGTTGCACTTCCTGACTGCTGCTGTGCACAGTGTCCTCCCAAGGGAACTGGTTTCCTTAAAAGTACGAGTTCTCAAAGGTCCACGAACCATGCGCAGAAAGCCTGGGGCGGGCGGGGTAGGAAGCAAGACTGAGAGGGAGTCCCAGCCTTTGGTTCTCGCAACAGCTCTGTGCGTGTGTGCTTATTCTTTCCATCTTACAGATGAGTAAACTGAGGCTCCTCAGGGTCGGGCAAGCCCAATGATGAGATTAGTAAATCACAAGGCTGGGGTTCAGGCTCTTTCTTCACCTGTGGAGTAGAGAGCTGCAGGGAGCAGTAGCACTGCGGGGGACCTGGGGGACAGGATGGAAGCAGTCGCCCCCAACTCCTGTGTGCATGTAGATCTCCAGAGTCTCTTGTGGAAATGAAGACTCGGGTGCCGTGAGTCTGGGTCAGGCCTGTGATTCAGAGTTCCCAAGCTCTCAGTGACCCCATGCGGCCGGCCACACACTCTGAGTAGAGGAAATGAGAGGAGGCTCAGTCTGGACTCAGGGACCAAGATGAGACCCCAGAGAGCAGCCAGAGCCCCTGCATGGGCTCCAGGCCTGGGTGTGGTTGTCATCGCCTGGTGGCCGGGGCTCCACAGTGAGGGGCAGGAGGGGGCCTGCACACCGCGTCCCAGTAGAACAGGCCAAGCGCTGCGTTTGCTCAGAGCCTGGTCCTCGTGAGCCAGCAGCCAGGAGGGTGGGCAGCTTGCCATGAAGTTCTGCCCTGCCTGCAGCAGGACTCCCAGCAGCAACTTGAAGGCCTTTCGCTGAGGGGGAAGTGTTTACATCCTGCTAGGTGTGTTTTATTTGTGATGCTAGGGGTTGAACTGAGCTACATTTAAACTGAGCTACATCTATAAAAGCTGTTTTATTTTGTTTATCTTATTTTTATTGAGTGAGTGAGTAAGTGAGTGAGATAAAGTCTGGCTAAGCCCCTAAATTGTCTAGGTTGGGCTTGAACTTGAGACCCTTCTGCCTCTGCCTTTCTGAGTATTGGGATTACAGTATTGGGATTACACCACCCCGCACCTGGCTTCTGCTGTTCTTTCTTCTTTTCTTTT